CTTATCCCACCGGTCATTAACCGAGGGACCGGACCGAGAATGTATGGAAAGAGAAGAATCAAATTAGCGGCATAGAACCAATCAAGATGCCAATCCTCACAGAATCAATCAGTCATAGTCAAAGAACTTGCTTTTAAGACCACAGCAAAATCTGGATCCCACAGCCGTCAAGAACATTGGTTTCTTCACGGCGGGGTTGAGGCTTCAAACGAAAGAAGTAGCGGAAAAGAGATAGAGAAGGAGGAATTCCAAGGAAAGCTTCACAGAGGTGAATGAAAAACAGAAAGATGAAGGACGACATTAGGGGTTAGATGGTTCAGATTAACCCCAAAATAACCAAGAAATTGATAAAGGAAGGCGGAAGCAGGAAGGCAAAGTCCAGAGCGGATAAAGGAAATGAAAAGGACAATCTCACCAAGACCTAGAGCAGGAACCCGGTGCTGCCGAAACTCTCCATTCAAAGAATGTCTTTGCTTTGGATCAAGCCGTCATTGACGAGCTCACGGAGCTGGTCTTGATTTGTTGTTGGAGCCGACCAAACCTTACGAGCAATTTTATGGCCCACGAACTCTCGGTTCTCGATCAAAGAAAGGATGACTCCTCATCCACGAAGGTCGCTGGACTTGCTCGTGGTTTTCTTCTTACCCATGAACTAGCGGAAACAAAAAGGCACTTTGGGAAGACGGAAGCTAAGATGGCGGCGCTTTCGGATGATGGCGACAATGGCGGCGACAATTTAAAAAGCTAGGGTTTCAAGGCAAGAGTCAAGGCGATAAAAGAAAAGGAAGATAAAAGATCTTTAAATAGATTTTTCAGTGATAAAAACTGGCCCATCGGCCCATTAAAACACGGTGTGGGAACACAATGGTCCATTTACTGACACAGCTAAAATGATGGACGGCACAAATCCACACAACGGTACAGTTTAACGGGCAGATTTCAGACTTATCCATCCATTACCACGGTAGGGTTATTAGATCACTACAAGAACGACCCGTCAACCATGAAGAAACAAAGGGCTACCTCACAAGGAACAAAAAAACTCGGTTATTAAAGAAAGAACTCGGAGTCTCATGAATAACCGAGGATTACAGAAAAATGAATGATAACTCAAGACAAGATTCTTTCCATTACAAATGGCTTCAAAAATAGAAAATTACACACCTTACAAGACCCAATGAACTCGGCACTACGACAAGCAAGGTAGCAAAAAGGAGCTCGGACACAACTAGGCTCGAACGCGACTACGTGCTCCAAATTGCTACTCGGTAGAACAAACCCGCTTTCGGCTACTAATTTTTCTTCAAAGGACGGACGCAGAAGGCATCCAAAGCGGAAATCAAGAGACACGGCGGGACAACATAGACCGGGGAAGTCGGCGGGCATATGTCTACCCAAGCCCAACGTGATGCAGAGGATCGGTGTTGATATGCACTTGGACGGGTCTCAAGATAGACGGCGAGGATCAACCCAGAATCGCGGATGAAGGAACGAAGCACACATCACAAAACTTCCTCCAACTACCACCACGTGCTTCCAAGTACAATGCATTGCTGCTGATTAGTCTATCTCTAATCCCTATCACAATACTTCCTCCAGCTACGACAAGACACATAGGAATTACAAGATATGCCCGGGGGCTGCTCTACCTCACAAACTACCATATTCATGACTATGAAGTTTTTAACAAAATGTTCAATGGATGAAAGCATGCACCCCGGGAGGGTATTTATAGATCGAATGAGCGGTGCATATGGACTGGAGTATCGACGAAAGAAGCCTTTCAAAAGACACAGTGAAAAGACAGGACTCAATAATGGAAGACTCAGAAAGAACAATACTCGAAGACGAGCATATTCGGAAGAATATGCCAATACTGTACAACCCATGAACATGCAATATTTGCACTCAACCACCACCATACAACTACACCTAACAAACAACAGACTATCAGAGAATACGCCAAGAACAATGCGTCCGAGTTCTTTTAGAATCAAAGAACCCAGATAAATGCTCAGAGGCTACAAAAGGAGAAGATTTCAGTTCCTCGAACAAATCAGACTCAAGACCCTACAACTCTTTGTTCCAAACAGTAAAAGGCTCGGGGGCTACACTCAGTGAGTGCACTTTTTCTTCAAAAAAGCGCACATCACTCGAAAGACTTCTTCAAGTCAGCAATTTTAAAACAACATAAGATTCAAAGACCCTCCAACTCCTTATTCCAAATAGCAAGAGGCTCGGGGGCTACACTCAGTGAGTGCACTTTTTTCTTCGAAAAAAGTGCACGTCACCAAGAAGACTTCTTCAGGACAAAACTATTTCAAGGAATCATGACAAAAAGAAGCCGGACCGAGCTATATCCGAGTTCCTTTTGATAAAGAACCTGGGCACACGCTCGGAAACATTTCAACGAAAGATCAGAGCGATTTTAAGACAAGACCCTTCAGCTCCTTGTTCCAAATAGCAAGAGGCTCGGGGGCTACACCCAAAGGGGAATACTTTTTTCTTCAAAAAGGTATACTCCACGCGGAGATCTCACAGAGCGCCACAGTTTCGCTCAAGAAAGCACTCGGATGACGCTTATTCCTGCTCGGCAAAGCCTGAAAGAACAAGACGACGCTTCCAGAGCTCAACCATGAAGTGCTCGGAGGCTTATCGGTGCGGGACCCACAGGATACCCCGCAGGGAGGAGAGAAGATCTAGTCTAACTATGATTCTCCCCATATAATCTTAGTAGTAGTATTATCCTGTAATCCTACTAAGAACTCTCATTGTAAACCGACTAGGATTCTGACCTCTTGACTATATAAAGGAGGGTAGGGTTCCTAGAGACAGGAGATCACGATTTTCTACAACATAATCAATACAACGCAAGGGCTAACGTCGGCTGGACATAGGGCTATTACTCGATCAACGATCGAGGGCCCGAACTAGGATAAATCGACCGTCTCTTGTGTTCACCGTCGAGTTCCGCATACGCTGAAGCCCGAACAATACTGCCTCGGGGACCCCCGTGGTAGGCTATCGATGGTAAAACATCGACATTAATTTATTATTAAATTTCGTAAGCTATCCCAAAATAGTGGCAAAAAGTTAAGATATATTTTTCTAACCTAACTTATGCACAAAAGTTGATATTAAGACTCAACTAATATGTCAAAAAACAAAAATAACAAATCATGTTAGGGGTAAACTAGATCAACTGGAATAGTTGGAGGGAGTAAATCGAACCAAATGTAAGTTTAGGGAGTAATCTGGATATATGCCAAACTTGAGAGGAGTAATTTGGATTTTTTCCTTTTCTTTAACTGCCATCAGAGGTGCTGAAGGTCGCTAATACTAACTCGTTAACTCGGCATATTATTACTAGATGATGATACTGGACTGCTGGCAGATGCAAAGTTAGTGTTCACTATATGTATGAGTGAATTCAAGACTGCAATAATTGCTCGGGTTGATTGGATAGTGAGCAAAAGATCACACCAGCCAAGCTTTGGCTGCACTCTTCAAGGAAAGGCTACTGCTTTTTTACATGCCCCGAAATGTGTGACAAATCATGCCTCTGTGTCTCTACTCTAATACTGTAGTAGCAAATGTTGCTCTCAAATCATTGTTTAGTTGCCTCTGTGTCTCTACTCTAATGTTTACGGCCCGTGCACTGTAAACGTAATTGCACAATTTGCAAATGTTGCTCTCAATTATTTGTATAAAACGAACGCGTGCTACTTTGGGGAACTAAACGCGCGCTATATGCTACTTGCTTTTCAGTGCACTGTCGTCAGGGTGGTTAAAGAAATATAAAGGCCCTTAAATTGGTTGGGGTTAGCATATCCAGAAGCTTGGTTACCTAATAAGAAGATAAGAGTATGTGATGAGACATACAAAAAATAATCAGTGAATATAGCTGACCAAGGTAATTAGGTACTGGTAGGGTATCCTCATTGAAAGAGGCGAAATCAGAGCCTTCGGCTTGTAGAAAAGCAACGTTTCTCCTTTCAAAAAATATACTGGCAGGAGAAGTTGTGAAAGGCAACTGAAATGCTCCTTTGAACAATAGCTGTTTGCTTGCAACCATCAACACAGCCACCTGATTGCATTGCATGATAGGAGCAAACAAACCGACTGAATCTCCTCATCGAACCAGTACTGCAAAAGAAAAGGGCACAAAAAACGCGATTAGATTTGACACGCAACGCTGTTAACCAACACACTCCGTTCTAAAACTATTCAGAAAAGAAAACCTCGTTGCTTCAGTATTCAGTAACAGAAGAAGATGGTCATTAATAAAGTGATAGAAGAGCAAAATTTGAGTGTAGGAGCCGCCTAAATACATGCTCAATCAAGCGTTAGCATTTTCATTGGGCAAAACTATTGAAAGTGGAAAAATACAGAAATGTGAAGGAAAACATGGCTTAGGCCAAGAATTTCTCGAGTGATTTTGGCTGTAGCTTCTTGAATCTTGAGTAATGCTCGACTCCCTCCGTCCAACAAAATGTATCATTCTCATTTTTCGAGAAGTCAAATAATTTTAACTTTAAATAAATATATATAATATATTATTAATATTATTATAATATATAGTAAGTATCATTAGATTTAATTATTGAATATATTTTGTGATAAGCTTATGTAGAGTTGCTAATATTTTTTAAACAAATTTAAACTTAGGAAAGTTTGATCTCTACAGAACTTACACGACTTTTATTGAGACGAAGGGAGTACTGTGGCTCCCACGGAAGCTCGCTTGAAACATAATGCCATGGTGACCATCAACCTAACAAAAAAAAGTGCATCACCTTTCTCTTCGCTAAAGTTGAAAAATGCCTCGATTTAGAATTTTATAGACGCACAAATAACCGGGCGCATAATATTTTCTTAGAGCCTTCGGATGCTGATCGGACGGTGAACCGTTTTGAGAGAGAGAAGAAAAAAGCAGTGTTACACGTAGCAGCTCTCGAGCTTTCCCTCGCTCTCGTCTCTCTGCGCTCTTCGCCGCCGCCATGGAGGACGACGATGACTGCCCTCCTCTCGCCGTCGAGCTCCCGCCGCGGGTGCCGTACCCTCCGGCGCAAGCTCCCTCAGACGCCTCACCAGTTGGCGTCACCGTCATCACCGGCTACCTCGGGGCCGGCAAGTCGACGGTGAGATTTTGTTCCGTAACCTAACGGCGTAACCGCCGCCTCTCCCCCACTACTGTGTTTGGTGAAATAGGCGCGTCAGCATACATGGGCTGCATACAATCAGAGGCAAATTGTTGGGTACCCAATATTCACTCTACGAAGTCTCGCTGATAAAGTGATACATACCTTTAATCTCACGAAACTGAATCCTGGTTTGATATATTTTGTGTCCTATCATGATTACAAACTATAGAATTACTAGTTCATCACAAAAAGCCCCTCTGAAAGTTGTCATCCTCGGTTCAGTATTTTCTGCTACTTGATTCTTAGGTGTAGCTCACCTTATGTTTTCTCATGGTAGCACTTATGTAGTTATGTACTACCTATTAATGCAGTGTTATGTTAAGTTTCTTAGCCAGTTTTTCGATTAGCTGGTTAATGACTTGACTTGACAGTTTCTATTTGGACTTGGAACTTTCAGTTAGTTAACTACATTTTGAATGAGCAACATGGGAAGAGAATTGCTGTGATACTAAACGAGTTCGGGGAGGAAATTGGGGTCGAGAGGGCGATGATCAATGAGGGGCAAGGTGGTGCACTTGTCGAGGAATGGGTGGAGCTGGCCAATGGATGTGTCTGTTGCTCTGTAAAACACAGTCTGGTTCAAGCACTTGAGCAGCTTGTGCAGAGAAAGGATAGGTAAAATACAGTTATTCCTATCTACACAAGGATACCTTGGATTCAAGTGTGGCCTAGGATTCCAGAATTTTGGGCCTCCTTTCTGTATCCTTTTGGTTCTTTTATCTACCTGTTGATATGGCCAAATTATTTGGTGATATAATTTGATTTGATATTGACCTCCTGGCTGTAGCTCTAAACTTGTTGACATCCTGTTTTTGGCTCACAACACCCTTCTTATTCGTGAACAGGAGACCGATTATCTTTTGCTAATGATGGCTGCTTGCCTTATCTAGTCTGCTTGAAGCTCTAGTGTTCAATTTTTTTTTTCATTTTTTGATATATTATGTTGTGCTCTTGCATTGGTCCAATGTTATAAGTTGGATTGGTAGCACCCTTTTGAATTATGATGATGCAAATTGTCCTAACATGTTGGAGTGATTTGGTATCCTGCAGAATGGATCATATATTACTTGAGACAACAGGATTGGCCGATCCTGCTCCACTTGTTTCTGTTCTTTGGCTAGACGATCAATTGGAGTCGTCAATTAGACTGGATTCTATTATTACGGTTAGTTAAGCCTTGTGACATTTGTTTTTTTTTCTTTTGTTTGATCAGTTGTCAACCACCATTTTGTGAGATGTAGAAAACACTATTACTGATCACATGCATGACCTTACTCTAAAAGTTCTGCAAAGTATCTGTTCTTGGCTTCCTTTAGTTGCTCTTAAGATCACAATTTAGAATATCATGTCATGTTGGACTTTTTTTAATATATTTTTTAGTTATCTATTGGCAGGTTATTGATGCAAAAAACTTCAGGGTTCAGATTGATGAGCACAAAAACTCTTCCTCATTCCCTGAAGCATTTCATCAAATTGCATTTGCGGTAACTTGTCCTTTGTGTCTCTCTTGTTTCTGTCATTTCATGGTTTATTTTTGGGATATTGACTTCTAGAATTTGGAGCTTCCTTTTTTTTATCCTTGCATCTGCAGTTAGAGTTCATAAATCCAGTATCCAAATAACTACATGTTAAATTCGTGTAACACAGGATGTTGTGATATTGAACAAAATTGACCTAGTGGAGGACAACCTTGAGGATTTGGAAAAACATATTCATGATGTGAATGCTCTGGTTACAGTGGTGCGGTCTGTCCGTTGCCAGATTGACTTGAATGAAGTATTTAACCGGCAAGCATATGGTGCCAAGGTTAGTAAATTAGTTAAGAACTTAAATTCAGCTTTTCATCTTAATTATGCAATGTTCTTTGACGTCTTAGGCAACTTGAATATTTATTGTCAAAGGTCATTTTAACTCTATAGTCTATAGCCGTAGGTTGCTTAAAAAGATGGACTATATCATAAGGACTATGAAGGATATATCAAACCAACAACAAGTCAGTGAACTTTGGGGCTAACTAGCAGTATCCTCTACAAGTTGAAGTCTTGAGCAACTATATGGCAATGCAATTTATCCTCAATACTTCATAAGCTAGATATTGAAAATATTACATGACTCATCAACACTATCCTTATATGTTCTGAGTTTTATCTAACTGAATGGAAACTTGAAAACCAACAGAACAACCTGAAAATAATTCTGCAAAGCTGATTCTTTGTCCACTGTAAGGCTTTATATATGCTAGAAATATGCATTGGTCTGGGATGCAACTCTGACTTCTTCCTTCTTTTTTGCTAGAATTCATCTCATCTGCAAGAACTGCTCGACTATAGTAAATCAGTGCCACCTAGTCGCCGTCATGATAACAGTATTTCCACCTTGTGCATCTATGAGCATGATTCTGTTAACTTGGCTAAGGTACTTTCTCTCCTTAAATGAACCATTTCAAAAGAATCATGTAATGAAGTCAGACATCAAGACATTTGCATACAGAAAATGGGGGCTCAAAAGATATTTCTTATTCAAGGATACAAAGTTGACATAAAGTGCATAGTTTGCTATTCAAAGTATGTCTTGAATTGTTTCACATACTGTTCCACATCAAGTAGCATTCTTATTTCGTAGGATAAATTGTTCCTGTCTCTGATTTGCGATTTTGAATATAGATATTTCTTCATACATCAAAACAAGATATTCTGCACTTTCTCTGTCAGGCTGTAAGCTGGACTAAATAAATTGACAAAATTCAGTACTTTAAATGGAAACGACTATTTAATATTTTCTAGTATCCATGCCTTAGCGACCCCCCCCTCAAGGGTTCTCAGTTCTTGATCTAATGAACTTGAAACTCCAATTATCAGTCCCTTTTGCATATTTGTCTGATACCCTGTTGCGGTTTGTTTTTTTACAGGTGGAGTCTTGGCTTGAAGATCTTCTTTGGGAAAAAAATTCTAGTATGGACATATATCGCTGTAAAGGGATTTTATATATCCATGATTCAGACCAAGTTCATACATTACAGGTTGTTACATCATACAAAGAATCTGAAAGAACTGCATGATCAGCTAAAGCTATCATCCATTTTTTGTATTTCCCTTAAACCCAATAGCTAGGGTAGTTGATTGAGTATACTTAATTTTGTTGCAGGGATTGCCAGTACTGATTTCTGATTTTGCCCTTATGCAGGCAGTGAGGGAAGTTTATGAAGTTGTGCCGGCTCGAAAATGGTCTGAGACAGAGTCTCGCATGAACAAGATAGTCGTCATAGGTAAAACCTCAAAAGTTGACTCAGTAGTTCAGCATTTGCAAATTCTGAACTGGTTGTAATCTTTGCATGCCCATTTTGCTGCAGGCCGCAATTTGGATATCAATGTTCTTCAAGATTCTTTTAGTGGTTGCAAGAGCTGATAATGAGTATCTGTTTGCCTTGCACAATGTTAGTTGCCCATTTTCTGTGAGGTAATTTTTTTTTGAACGTTTCTGTGAGGTAAATTGCCCTTTGTATTAGAGGTTGCCATTCACATTTTCCATTTTGGGGCATCACATGCCATTATGGATAGCTTTGCTGTTTGTGGCATTGAGCTGCCATTATCATGAGTTGCTATGTTAGCAATGCTTGTATACTGTTTAAAACGATTCAACTCTTAACTTTTGTGTGTTTGTATATCAGTTTAATTTTCTTACCTGTATGCTCGCAGGTACCTCTGTGCAAGTGAATACTGAACTGGAGGAGAATCTTCAGTAGGGGAATATAGATATCAGGTGCTCCATATATGTACTTCGTTAGTGGAGAATCTTTAGTAGGGCTAGCAATAGCCTACAGGTCAACTGGATTCATGGCTGTATTATCATGTCAAGTGCTTTTCCGACGCACCATGGTACAATTTTTCTGCAGAGCTTGCAGGTCAACTGGATTCATGGCTGTATTATCATGTCAAGTGCTTTTCCGACGCACCATGGTACAATTTTTCTGCAGAGCTTGTTCTTCGGTTTTGTCGGAGAGGCATCTATCCAATTACGGGACGTACTCTGGGGAAGGATTTCAGTTTTGTTTGTATGATATAAAGCAAATACAGGTGGAGGAAAATTGAATTTTGCGTGCAGTAGAAACTGCGATGCGTTAGGCAAATTTCGCTCGGTGCATTGGTGGCTTCTTTTGTGTCATGTGGTCCGTGTTCTGTATCCTTCATCATCCATTCTGGACCCCGTAGCTCAGCTCCACACTGCTGCGGTTTATGGTTTACAGAATGATTTCCTATTGCCCGACAGTAGAGCACGGCAGCTCACATTAGAATTTGGCCGAGTAGGATGATGGACAGTGAAGACTGAAGAGCGTGTCGTTCTCGTTCAAAGGGCAATGACGCACCATTTTATATTTTTGTCTACATTACCAGGTACTCCTAGTCCTAGATTTGAGGAACTATTTGGTTAAAGATCAAGCCGCAGGTGCAAGTTGAACCGTGCAACATTTCACGGCGTAACAACCACAAGCTGATCCCACTATAATAAAGAACGAATCTGTTCTTGGATGAACAACTCATCTAGAAGAGCCCACTAGTTCGGTTATTTTTGAGATGTTTTCAGTACGGATATTTTCGAGATAAACCCCAGAAGGCGTACTGCTAGAGTAATTTCAAGAGACTATCTATATCCTTTCTAAATGCTAGGAATAGAGATTTTGGTGAAAAAATACCCTCCAATAGTTTTTCTAAATGGTTATCAAAATATAGTCATATTCTATTCCGGATTTTTCGTTAGCAAAAAATAGAAGACAATAATAGCTTTCTAGAGTACCATGAGGTATAGAAAAACTGTTGAAGAATGAAAATATATATAAAAGCGATTTTTATGCAAATGACTCTAAATGATGATATAGAGAGTGAAATTTAGAAAGTCTCTTAGAGATGCTCTAAAGCTCCTTTGCCACGTAGGAATTTTGTAACATTTCACCACAAAGCTGATCCCACTATAATAAAGAATGAATCGGTTCTTGGATGAACAACTCATTTAGAATAGCCCACTAATTCAGTTATTTTCGAGAAGTTTTGAGTAGGATGCTTTCGAGATGTTTTTAGTATAAAACCTAGAAGGTGTACTATTATATAAGGGCCCCTTACGTAGGAATTTTACAGAAATTATATAAGAATTTCATAAGAATTAGTTTATTTTTTACACAAAAAACACAGAAATAAGAAAAAACTCTGCATTTTAAAGGAGGTCAGAAAGCATCTAGGCCCCTAGTTGGATTTCGGTAATTAGTGACAATACGTGATTACTATGATTAACGTGTGTTTTGCAGAGGCAATTAAGTTAGGTCATGGTAATAGCAATTGATTGGGCAATCACGGTTGTCATGCTCCTACGATAGAAATCGTTTCGGTTTTCAAAGGATGGACGACAAGGTTAAGGATTGACTAGTTCTAAGTGTCATTAGGTGTTGAAGAGACACTTAGAGTAGTTTAGGACTTTGTTTTTTCATTGGCCGTACTATTAAGGGGGTATGAACGGGTAACTTGATCTAGATAAGTCTAGTGGGTTAGGTGTGGTGCATACTTGTCAAATCTAGCACTAGGTAGCTCCTAAGTAGCCCTAAGATCAATTGGAGCGAACTTCATTCACATATGATTACGAGTTAGAAGTGAATGGAGGGTCAAATGTTGACCGGACGCTGGTTCCGGTGTGACCGGACGCTGGCGCAGAGTCCGGTCAGTTTATTTAATCAAGGTGAAGTCATCTGGATGCGACCAGACGTTGAGTGAAATGTGATCGGACGCTGGGTGCCAGAGTCCGACCAACTCCAGTAAGGTTCCAGAGTGGGAGAATCCTGATTGGACGCGTCCGGTCAGTGCTGACCGGACGCTGGTCAGGTTCCGACTACTGACCTGACGCTAAGCAGCAAAGTGACCGGACACTGGGTGCCAGAGTCTGGTCAACATCAGTAAGGTTCTAGAGAACAATTTTTGTGACCGGACGCGTCCGATCAGTGCTGACCGGACGCTGGTCAGTGTTCGGTCACAACTTAACTGCTTGGTGGCGGGGAGAACTGACCGGAGCGTCCGGTCACCTTGACCAGAGCGTTCGGTCACCCCGCAGAGGCACATAACGGTTCGTTTTGAATGAGGGGTTATAAATACTTACTCTATTCACTCAAGGGATCACTTTTGCTCATTTCAACATCTAAGAAACATCCTTGAGAGTGCCAAGGAGAGTAAGGTCCTAGTGAGGTGATTAAGATTTGAGAATCCAAAAGAGAGGCCTCATTAGTGAAAAGAGAGTAGCAAGTGTGCATCCACCCTTCTCATTAGGCTTGTTGTGGTCAAGTGAGAGTTCTTGTTTGTTACTCTTTGTGATCTCCATCACCTAGATGGCTTGGTAGTGATTTGGAGTTTGGTGATCATCCGGTGGAGCTTGTGGATGACCTAACTCAAGTTGTGAGCGGTTATGGGTGATTCACCGCGATGAAGTGTCGAAGAATCAACCGGTAGAGAGCACTTGATCCTTGCGTGGATCAAGGGGGAGCTACACCCTTACGCGGGTGCTCCAACGAGGATTAGTGGGGAGTGGCAACTCTCTAATACCTCGGCAAAACATCGCTGTGTTCCTGCTTCTCTCTTTATTTTAAGCATTTACTTTGAGCAATTCAATTCTTGTCTTTACATTCATAGAATTGCCATGCTAGAGTAGGATTGGAACTTAGGTTGCAAAACTTTTATGCGGTAGAATATTAGAAACACTTTCTAGGCACAAGGGGTGAAGTGGGCTAAGTGTAGGGTTTAATTATTGCAAAGAATTTTAGAATTAGCCCAATTCACCCCCCTCTTGGACATCTTGATCCTTTTCAGTTGGTATCAGAGCCTCGTGTGCACGAAATTAGACTTAACCGTCTAGAGAAAGATGTCTCACGGGGATGGTCCTCCTCCTATCTTTGAGAGAGATGATTTTTCATATTAGAAAATCCGCATGGAGGCGTATTTAGAAGCTCTAGATGTTGGAATACTTAGAGCCGCCTCACAAGGTTTCCCAAAACCTCGGGATCCCACGCACCTTCAAGGCGATGAATTGAATTACGAAAAATGGAATGCAAATGCTAGAAACACCATCTTTAGAGGCCTTTTGCAAAGATGTGTTTAACCGGGTGAGGAACCACAAAGACGCCCATGCACTATGGTCGGACATTTGTGCGCTCCATGAGGGAACTGAGCGAGCGTGAGGAACGCTATAATCTTGTGATGAAAAAGCTTAATTCTTTTGAGATGCTTCCAAAAGAAAGCACTAATGAAATATACTCACGTTTGAATGTTCTTGTAGAGGAAGTCAATGGGTTTGGACTTACTCAAATACAACCATCCAATATTGTAAGAAAAATCTTGAGTGACCTCCCCATTGATAAATATGGACATATTGTGACCGTGCTTCATCAAGATGATCTTTCCACCGCTACACCAACTCAAATCTTGGGAAAGATTAATGCTCATGAGATGTACATGCACATCACACCACAAGATGGCTCATCCTCTACCAAGAAGAAAGACAAAGACTTAGCATTCAAGGCTAGCCAAGAGAAGGGCAAAGTAAGAATTGAGTATGAGAGCTCAAGTGATGATGAAGTTGATGATGCAAGTCTTGCTCTCAAGGTGAGAAGAACTGCTAAGATGCTAAAGAAGCTCAACAAAAATAGCATCAAGTTTGATGGCAAGAAAAAAAGTTCTTCACTAGCACTAGAAGGAAGCCAATCTCCGAGATGGATTGCTACAATTGTAGAGAACTTGGTCATCTAGCTCATCAATGCATCAAGCCCAAGAAAGACAAGTATAAGAAGTACAAGGGCAAGAAAGATGACTCAAGTGATGAAGATAATGATGAGAAGAAGAAAAACAAGCCATACAAGAAGAAAGATGATAAAAGAAGGACTTCCACAAGAAGAAGAAAAATGGAAAGACATACATCGTCGGTGATTGGTTCATGGACATTGATTCATTTAGTGGCTCATTCGATGATGATAGTGACGATGAGAAGGTGGCCGCCATTGTGATTGACTCTTCATCATCCTCACCGACACTACCGACATCATCCTCTACACACCTATGCCTTATGGCCAAGGGTGAACGAAAGGTATCAAATGATGATGATAGTAGTGGTGATGAACATGCTAGCAATGATGATAGTGATAGTGATGATGATGTTGATGAATTTGAATCACCTTCATATGACGATCTTGTTAAATTGCTAAATCAATACACTAAGATCATTAGAAAGACTAGAGCTAAGAATGAAAAGCTAGAAATTAAGAATGACTCTCTTTTAGCTAAATGTGACATAGCCGAAAAGGCTAGTGTTGAGCTTAGAAAAACAAATGATGCTATGTGATCCAAACTCAAGGAGCTCAAATTTTCTAAGAAAGAGCTTAA